GGTGGGCAGGCCAGCTGTGGGGTGCAAGTGGCCAGGGTGGTGCCCATGGGCTGGCCAGGCCCTGCGTGGGCAGGACAGATGCCTCAGGATAGACACTGGAGACTGAGACAGCCCACGCAGTGTGGTCCCTGGTCCCCTCGGCACAGGGACAAGCTTTATTGCCCTTTTCCCGAGGCGCTCTGGTCAGGCGAGTTCCTGGTTTCCCCACCGCCTCTGCACCATCCTAACCCACGGGTAGAGCTTGTGGAGCTGCCGGGCCAGGATTTAGGGAAGGGGAGTGATTCCTGATCTCAGAGCAGCCCCCGACAAGACCTGGTGTGGCCCTGGCACAGCAGGAAGGCGAGACAGACCAGGCTGCATCTTCAAGGAACCGATTCCCTCCATGCCTCCTGACGTGGCGGCAGATCTAGCAAGAGACTACAGAAACACCCAAGCCCAAAGGAAAGGAAGAAGGTTGCCAGGAGGACCCACTGTATCCATTTTAGGTTAAGGAGACAGCGAGACATAGGCAAGGGTGGCCACAATCAAACCAATGCTGAAGAAGACCTTGAAGATGTGGGGCACGGTGCTGGAGCGGGGAGGACAGTCCCCAGCTCTGGTTTGCAGGGGCCTGACCACACGCTGCCGCTGGGTGAGGATGGCCTCCCTGGCGCCTGCCCACTCGCCCGGGCCCCGCAGGCGGTACTGGTACGGCGTGCAGGGCCCGAAGGCCACCTCCAGCGCCAGCTTGGGGTCGGTGAGGAAGAGGGCGAGCAGGTTGGGCTTGACCCCCACCTGGCAGGCGAGCTCGTCCATGTAGGGGATGTAATCCACCTGGATGGTGTGCCGCTGGCTCTTCACGTACCTGTGGGCAAGGAGGGCAGGTGGGCTTGGCATGTGGGCACGGGGGTAATGGTGGCAGGGGCGATGCCTGCGCGGTGTTCTTACCGCTCGGCCATTTTCTCCTTGGTTTGCGTGATGTCAGCCAGCATGTTGGTGGATGGAGGCAGGTCCTGCAGCCCTGGGGAGGAGGAGGCCGTGGCTGGAGGGAGGGCTGTGCTTCCGCCATGGTATGGCTGGCTCTGCAGCCCAGCCTGGCCTCTGCTTGCACGCAGAAGCCTTTGGGGCTCTGGGGACGTGCCGTCATGGCAGGAGCAAAGCAGGAAGCACGGGCGAAGAAAGTAACGGCAGGAAAGGAGAGGGAGAAGGTGGTTTGCAGGCAATGGGACCTGTTAGTGGCCCCCCGCAAGAGAAGATGAGCACGAGGCTCATTGCAAAACGCAATGCTGTTTTTTGTCCCTATGAATAAGCAAAAGGAGGACAACAAAGATGAGTGGAGGGAGGCGGTGTGTGAGGGGATGCAGCCAGTTGAACGACTCAGCCTTGCCGTGGCCAAGGGAGCCTGGCTGCATCCCCCCACCCTGCCTTGCTTACCCTTGAAGATGCGGGTGGCCCAGCGACTCTGGAGCTCGGAGATGGGCATGATGGGGCCCAGGGGCTGGATGAGGCCGATGAAAGCAAGCGCTGGCTTCTCCAGGTCGATGGGGAACATGAATTTGTAGAGGGAGATCTGGTTCTCCACCACCTTCACGCAGCCCTCAAGGAAGGGGAAGGAGAAGCTGTATCCCGTGGCAAAGACCACGGCATCGATGTCTTCCCTGGTGCCGTCACTGAAGATGGCAGATGTTTCCGTGAATTCCTGGATATTTGGCTTCACCAGCACCCTGCCTGAAATGATGCAGTTGGGCAGGTCATCGTTGACAGTTGGGTGCTGGTGAAAGATCCTGGAAGGCACAGACAGACCTCGTGTGGGGGACAGGCAGTGGGATGGGCAGTGCTGGGGCAGGTCCTCGGGGTGCTGCTGGGACGCTCACCGGTGCTGGGGCTGGAGGCCATAGAGCGCATGGTTGAAGCGGGCGTTGAGCTTCCTCTCCAGGAGAAAGCTGCTGGCATTTTGAGGCAGCAGGCTGTGGAGGAGCTGTCTGAAGCGGCTGATGTAGGAGAAATCAAAGGGGTATCCACCATCCCCCACCCGGTGCAGCACCCAGGTCCCACGCTTTGTGCTGAGGAAGACCTGGGAGGAAGGAGAGGGGAGGTGGTGGTGTGGCAGCATCCTCGGGACTGGGCTAGGCCCCTGCCGTGCGCCTCAGACAGGGATGCCAGCACAGCTGCTGGGATCACAACAGCCACCTCATCAAGAGGGGATGGGGTGCTCGTGGCCCTCTGCGGTGCTGGAGGAAGGGGAGCCCACAGGGGATGGTGGGGGGTTGCTCAGTGCCCTCCGGGGTCCAAATAATAAGCACCCCAGCCCTGGCGGCTCTCCCAGCACACCTGCTTGGCTATGTGGCTCAGCTCCACTGCGATGTCGATGCCTGAATTCCCGGTGCCGACCACGACCACCTGCTTCCCCAAAAAGGACTGTGGGCTCTTGTAGTCCCGGCTGTGCAGGTACCAGCCCTCAAACTTTTCCACCCCTGGGAGAGAGAGGGAAGCCATGCCGGGCAGGGACGTGGGGCAGGGGGTGGCTGTCTCCCTGCTCAGACTGGTGGTGTGTTTTGGGAACAGGCTGGGACCAGCGTGACCAACGGGAGCAATGCAGCCCTGGGATGGTGCCCAGAGAGGTGGTGGCTTCTCCAGCCTGGGAGATGCTCAGTGTGGCCCTGAGCATCCTGCTCTGGCTTTGGGGCTGGCCTGGCTTGAAGCAGGGTTTGGTCTGGAGACTTCCATGCTCCCATCCCAAAAGCCTCCTGCAGTTTCTGCCCAGTGCCAGGCGTTGGGGGCAGAGGAGCAGCCACGGTCTGTGCCATCCCGCCAGACCCTGGTGACTGTGTGCTCCAGCCTGTTCCCCACCCAAAGAGGGTCTCCACGGCTGAAAGCCCTCCAGGCATTTTTGCCTGGCACCCAGAGGAGAAGGCCACCACCAGCGCTGAGCTCTCAAGCCTTGCTGGGAGCCAGAGAGCCCAGTGGGTGCGTGGCCAGCAGCTCGGGGAGCCTGTCTCTGGTGGGAGAGGTGAGCTGGCAGTGGGGGCACCTGCCAGCAGGGCACTTTGGTCAGGCACTGACAGCACAGCAAGAGCCACCAAGGACAGACCACCAACATGGGTAGGATAGCAGCATGCTCATGCAGTCCCACCTGGTGCGTTAACCTGTGGAGGCATTTTTGGCAGCAGCCAGAGCAGGGTGGGGGCTAAGATGGAGTGGAGAGTGCTCCCAGGGGTGTCAGGGAGCAGGCGAGCAGCTCACGGGGGGGTACCTGGGAAGGCGCTCAGTGGGAGGTGTGCCTCAGTGTGGTGCCCGGTGCACACCAGCACGGCGTCAAAGATGGCCGCCTCCTGCTTCCCCTCGCTCTCCGTCACCACCTCCCACTGGCCTGTGGTGGCGAAGTCAGGGCGCTTGGCCACGCGGCACACGCTGGTCTGGGTGCGGGGGGAGCAGGTGTCAGGCACCCTACGCCCCCCAGACCTGTCGCCACCACCCCCCCGCGGGCTCCCCCAGCTCTCACCCTGAAACGGACATGGCGGAGCAGGTCGAAGTGCCGGGCGTACATGCGGAAGTACTCCATGATCTTGGAGTTGTGCATGTAGTTGGGAAAGTCCTCGGGGATGGGGAAATCGCTGAAGCACATCATCTCCTTGGAGGTGTTGATGATGACGGAGCGGTAGATGCTGGCGCGGCCCTCCTCGGGGTACTCCTGCGGGAGCAGGGCACGGCTCGGTGCTGGCGTGGGGACCCAGGGCTGCAGGTTTGCAGCGGACACCTGCCTCCCCTGCCTGGCACCTCGCCATGCCCATGGGTGTGGGATTAAGCCATGGGTGGTCATAGCACCCGTCCCTGCACCCAGCACCCTCCCGCAGGTGCAACAGCCCGCCCCGCAAAATGGGGGAGAGGAAGCTCTGGGTTGGTGGGGGCCATGCAGCAGTGACAGCGAGTCATGGGGTCTTGTGCCTCAGTTTCCCAGCTCCCACTCCCAGCCCCGATGAGGTGGTGCGTTCCCAAAGCTGCCCGTGGTGCCATTGCCCTGGCTGCCACATCAGGTCTCGCCGGTTGCTGAGCCAGCTCCAGTGCTTCCAGCTCACCAGGTCTCTGCCCGGGCAGCGGAGTGCTGCTCCCCTGGCTCTGCTCCACCAGCCACGTTTCTGACCCACCATGGGCAGAACCAGCGGACTGTAACCGAGCCACCCCAAACCCTGTGCTGGCGTGGTGCAGTGTGTCCCCTGCCCGGACTCTCCCACCTGTGTATCAGGGCATGGTGGCGAGGTTTGTCTTCTTGTCGGTGGGTCCCCAGGGAAAAGTCAGCAGCCTCTTTAGGTGGGGGCAGAAACGAACTCTGGGGCTTCCCCCGAGGCAGGGAGAGCCAAGGCACAGAGGAGGCAGCGCTCAGTGCCTCTGTATGGGTGAGCAGCACAGAAGCAGGGAGAGGAGCAACCAGGACTTCCAGGGAAGGGCTGTGCAGGACAGGGACTGGGACAGCCAGTGGGGTCAGATGGGGCCCGGATGGGTAGGAAAGGGCTGGAGGGGACCAGGAGCAAAGCAGCAGGGGAAGGGATGGAGGAGACCGGGAAGGGAGGGATGGGAAGGGGGAAGGCTGAGCTGAGGGAGTGAGCCCTGGGGTAAGGTCCTTGGGGAGGGTCTGTCCTGCCGCTGGTGGGAAGGAGATGGGTCCAGTGTGGCCATCACACCAGCTGGCACCACGGGGACCTCCCGCTGCTGCAGCAGCTTTTTTTTCCTGTGGTTTTCCTCGACAACCCACCTGCCGCATGCATGCAAAGCAGGGGAGCGGTGCTTTGTTAGCTGCCAACAACTGATCCCAATCCCATCCGTGCTGCTGCTGCGGGGCAGGCTGGCACAGTGCAGGGCTTACCTCAAAGCGCCAGAGCCCCCCGATGTCCCCGCTCCTCTCAAAGCAGGTGGGTACTAGCCCCTCATCCAGGCAGCATTTCAGGGCACACAGGCCAGAGACACCGGCCCCGATGATGGCTACTCGCTGGGCAGCCATGTCCCACGGTGCGGTGGTGGCAAGGATGGCGGGGAAGCCTCGGCTGGGGGCAGCACACACTTAGGGGAGTGTGGAACCTGGCCGGGCCACACCAGGGGGACGCGCGGTGCTGCTCGGTCGGGGATGGCCGTCCCTGTGCTTCCCGTGGGCGACCGAGGTCAGCCGGGGTGTCACAAGATGTGTTTCTTCCAGACATGATCTACAGGTTCCCCTCGCCACCGTGCCACACCTCCTGCCCACGCCTGCCCTCTGCAAGGGGCTCATTAGGTTCTGTAAGCACTTAATGATGCCGACGCTGCCCCGGGACTTTCTGGGTGCGGGGGCTGAGATGTGGCCGCACTCCAGATTTCGGCAGGTTGTGGCGTGGAAAACAAAACCGGGGGGATGCTCAGGGCTCTGGTGGCCAGCAGCCGTGTCAGCTCCAGCGTGTAGTGGCCAGGACCCCCTGTCACCACTCTGGGTCCCCAACCCACCCAGCCGTCCTCCAGAGGGGCTGCGTGCAGGTGACAAGAGTGGCACTGAGCCGTGCCACTGTGACCACCATGACCCACTCTGGCGGCGCACACCCTGGGCAAGGCTGTTTTGCTGTGGATACACACATATGCATGCATGCAGCCCATGCTGCCGCGGACCTGGAGCTGTGCCGCCAGCACGAGGCCAACCTCAAACCCATGCACGTCCCCCTGGCATGCAGGGGGACAGGGTGGTGTCAATAATGGGACAGACACCTGGCTCTGTTTAACAAGCTTTTATCCAGTTAGGAAGTCTGTTAATGCCTTTGCTGCTTAGCTCTTGTGTGAGTGTAGCCAGTGGTGGCTCAGCCGGGTTATAGGCAACAGGAAAGCCGGTGCATCCCCGCTGGGTTGAAAGTGCTGGCTGAGAGGGACTGGATTTTACCCTGCATGTGAGCAGGTTTCCTTGTCCGTCCCCGGCTCCCCGGGAGGAGGTGCAGAGCAGGCTCCGAGGTGTTATTTCGGCAGCCGGGGAGGCTCCACGCGCCCCGAGCTTGTGGTGTGGCCGCTGTGGGGTCATGCCAGGCAGGACAAGGGCTCCTGCCAGCACTGGGGTGCACAGGCTGCTGTGGGGCCGGGGGTGGCTGGCCAGCCCCACTGGCACACTGCAAAGCCTCCCTTCCTTCTGGGCAGCCCAGCAAGAGCAGGCACCTACAAGTAAGCAAAAATGACGGCGAGGACAGCCACGGCCCCGACCAGCTTGAAGATGAGGGGCACAGTGGGGGCCAAGGGGTGCTCTTCCACATGCCGCGTCTGCAGGGGCTTGATGATGCGCTGCCGCTGGCGGAGTGTGGCCCCCCGGGCCCCGGCCCACTCGCCCGGGCCCCGCAGGCGGTACTGGTACGGCGTGCAGGGCCCGAAGGCCACCTCCAGCAGCTTGGGGTGGTCGGTGAGGAAGAGGGCGAGCAGGTTGGGCTTGACCCCCACCTCCACATGCCGCGTCTGCAGGGGCTTGATGATGCGCTGCCGCTGGGTGAGGATGGCCTCCCTGGCACCTGCCCACTCGCCCGGGCCCCGCAGGCGGTACTGGTACGGCGTGCAGGGCCCGAAGGCCACCTCCAGCGCCAGCTTGGGGTCGGTGAGGAAGAGGGCGAGCAGGTTTGGCTTGACCCCCACCTGGCAGGCGAGCTCATCCATGTAGGGGATGTAATCCACCTGGATGGTGTGCCGCTGGCTCTTCACGTACCTGCGGGCAGGGAGGACAGGTGGGTGCTGGCGGCAGCGCCGGCAGATGCCCCGCGCACCCGTAAGGCGGTATTGGATGGACTGCCATCAAGAAGGATCAGTGGGGTGGGGGTAGTGCAGCCAAGCACATCCCTGCCATCTGTTGGCACGTCCAAATGTGCTGGGGACGCAGCCATGGGACAGGATGGCTGCCCACAAGCAGCCATGCCCAAACCGTCCCCTTCCCTGTTCCTGGGGGGTGTCTTACCGCTTTGCCATCGCTTCTCTCTTCTGCTCGATGTCAGCCTCCATGTCCTGCCGTGGGGGCAGCTTGTTCAGCCCTAGGGAGGATGAGCCACAGCATGGGGGTGCTGCACCACACTGGCAACAGTGGCCGCTGCGGTGCTGCTCTTGCCTGGGTGCTGTGCCCCTGCCGGCACCACCGTGGCAGGCAGTCTGGCACCCGAGGCATGTCCAAACTCCTCAGGATGGGAAGGAGCAGCCCATGAGGCCCAGGGTACAGATGTCCCTGCGCTGCTCAGGCAAAAGCCTGGCTCACCATGATGGCTGCAAGGCGGCCATGCCATCGTCCGTGACCAGGATGGCACAGCCAGCTGCTGCCTCCCAAACACAGCTGGGCACCATCTGCCCAGGCTCTGGGGGTGCAGGCTTGGGCTGCAGCCACAGGGGGGGTTTGCCTCACTTACCCTTGAAGACGCGGGTGGCCCAGCGACACTGGAGCTCAGAGATGGGCATGATGGCGCCCAGGGGCTGGATGAGGCCGATGAAAGCCAGCGTCGGCTTCTCCAGGTTGGGGGGGAACATGAATTTGTAGAGGGGGATCTGGTTCTCCACCACCTTCACGCAGCCCTCAAGGAAGGGGAAGGAGAAGCTGTATCCTGTGGCAAAGACCACGGCATCGATGTCTTCCCTGGTGCCGTCACTGAAGATGGCAGATGCCTCTGTGAATTGCTGGACATTCGGCTTCACCAGCACCCTGCCCGAAATGATGCGGTTGGGCAGGTCGTCGTTGATGGTCGGGTGCTGGTCAAGGATCCTGGAAGGCAGAAGGAGCCATCAGGATACTGGGTTGGGGTGTCTCTGCTCCGTGTCCTGCTCCGGCCACTGCTCCCTGCTCTGAAGATGCTTATGCCCAGGGATGCTCAGCCCCGAGGATGCTCATCACCAGTGGGGCTGGTCCCCCAGGGATGCTCAGCAGCTGCTACTGCACTGGTGCCACCGAGGGTCCCCAGAAGGGGCAGTGGTGGCTCCCTCGAGCATTGCCTGGGCACACCACAGCTATTAACTGGGTTTCCAGGGCTGGTGCCTCAGCCCCAGCCTGGGCACAGGGAGCATGGAAATGGCCAAGCAGGGCTGGACACGGAGGGAGCTGGGGGGTCCCTCCTGAGCAGGGGGAGCTTTTGCTAGCACCTGTGCTTTGGCTTCAGGCCATAGTGTGAGTGGTTGAACCTCGCGTTCAGCTGCTTCTCTGCAAAGTCGCTCACCATGGACGGGCTCAGCAGCTTCTTCAGGAACATCTTCATGCGGGTGGTGAAGATGATGTCGATGGGGTAGCCCTGATCTCCAACACGGTTGAGGATCCATGCACCCCGGCGGGTGCTAAGGAAGACCTGGGTGAGGAAGGAAGCATCACCTCCTGAAGGCTGTGACAGCCCTGGGGGGCTGCCCCGGGGGGGCATGTCCTCACCCCGGGTTCACTCCTCTTCACGCTGCCAGGGTGCTGGGCGAAGACCCGGAGGGCAGAGGGAGCCAGGGGTGGGCATCTGGCAGGGAGAGGTAGGGAAGAGCTGCAGGGGCAGCCCCAGCCCTGGGCTCGGGGATGGAAATCGGGGTATCCATATGGGATCGAGTCTCGGCTGCCACTGCTGCCTGGCAGCACCTTGGTCCTGGTGGCCTTGTGGAGCTGGCAGTGTCCCATGGGGGGCTGCCCTGCCCGCTGGGACCCTGCTCCAGCTGCTGACCTGCTTGGCCGTTTGGCTGATCTCCACGGCAAGGTCCGACCCTGAATTCCCAATCCCGATGACAATGACCCTCTTGTCCGTGAAATCTCGGGCATCCTTGTAGTCTCGGCTGTGGAGGTAGCGGCCCTTGAACTTCTCAATGCCTGCGGGCGGGGAGGAGGGATGCTTGGCTTCCTGGTGCCAAGCTGGAGGGTCACTTCCCCAAAATCTGAAGTGGGGACCCTCCCTGGCCCCGCCATCCCCCTCCTGGGGAGTGTGGGAGTGCTCCCCGAGCCAAAGCAAGACAGGAAAACGCTGAGGCTGGGAGGAAGAGCAGCAGGGAGAACAGGGGTTCCCGTGGCTGAGCTTTCTGGGGTCTCTCCTTGCACCGGGGCACGGGGTGGTACCTGGGAAGGTGCTCAGTGGGAGGTGTGCCTCGGTGTGGTGCCCGGTGCACACCAGCACGGCGTCAAAGATGGCCGCCTCCTGCTTCCCCTCGCTCTCCGTCACCACCTCCCACTGGCCTGTGGTGGCGAAGTCAGGGCGCTTGGCCACGCGGCACACGCTGGTCTGGGTGCCGGACCCGTCGCCTCTGCCCCCCCGCGGGCTCCCCCAGCTCTCACCCTGAAACGGACATGGCGGAGCAGGTCGAAGTGCCGGGCGTACATGCGGAAGTACTCCATGATCTTGGAGTTGTGCATGTAGTTGGGAAAGTCCTCGGGGATGGGGAAATCGCTGAAGCACATCATCTCCTTGGAGGCATTGATGATGACGGAGCGGTAGATGCTGGCGCGGCCCTCCTCGGGGTACTCCTGCGGGAGCAGGGCACGGCTCGGTGCTGGCACAGGGGCAGCGAAGGGGAGGGATGGCTGGGGCTGATGTTGTGGCCCTCCATGTGGAGCCCCCGCCCTCAGCCTCCCCCCAGGACCCCGCCGTGGCCGGCTGCGTGCCATCCTGCTGGCCACCGCTGCTGATCCCCGGCTGCCGCAGTGCTGACCCCCGGCAGGACGTGTGGCTCGCAGGGCTTACCTCAAACCTCCAGAGCCCTCCAATGTCCGCAGTCCTCTCGAAGCAGATGGGCTCCAGCCCCTCTTGCAGGCAGGCTTTGATGGCACACAGCCCGCTGCTGCCCCCTCCGATGATGGCCACCGTCTTCGCCATGCTGCCCTCCACCACCGGGTCTCTGCCTGGGGACAGTGCTGGAGAGTGGGGCTGAGGAGCAAGGGGGGCAGCCATACAAAATTTTGGCCCTGTGCACCAAAGAGGTCCCAAGCTGAAAGGCAGTCCCCCAAAAGTTTGTCTGGGGCTGCAAGGCAACTGCAATTCCCTCCCCAGCAGGGACCTGGCCAGTGCTGGGGTTTTGCACCACTGCGGTGTTGCCTCTAGACGCCATGGGGAGAAATGCTACCAAGTGCCAGGGAGCCTTGAAATCTGCCTGCCCACGCAAAGTCCTGGTGATGGAGGTGCGCTGGAGTGCCGTGCCCTGCCTCGGGTACCGATGGCTCCCTCCCGGGTGGGCGACAACCCCTCTGCCCGCCCTTTACCCTCTCCATTCCCTGGGGAGATGTCTGTTGCGCTGCCCCAGCGCCCACTGCGTGCTGGCAGCCCGCAGGGAGGCCCTCAACCGACCTGTGGCCACGCGAGTGGCAGCCTGGGGAAGGCCAGTGGCAGGCGGGAGCCACGTGAGGGTCTCTGCCGGGTTGCCCTGACTCGTAATGCTGGATGGCAGCCTGGCTTTATGGTGTGCGGCGGCAGCGAGTGGAGCCTCCTCCTCCGTCACTCCTCCCACAGGGCCGGGGAGAGGAAGCCAGCACCCAGCTGGCTCCCAGCCGCCTGCTCAGCTTTTCCGGCAGCGGCTCTTGCCGCAGCCTCAGACAGTAGGGTAAGGAGCCATCCCACGCTCCTCACCAGGAACGCCCACACAGGGACATGGTGGGGACACTGGGTTGCAGGAGAGACAGAGACGCAGCCGGTCCCCGTGGCATGCACGCCGGGTAAACAAACACTGCCCTGAACTTTTATCTCTGGGATTATCAGGATCAGCCCAACCCTGTTTATGCTGGTACCCAGGGGCACATGTGGCTCTGGCTGCTCTGGTGGCACCCGGCACCTCATCGCCCATGTCCCCCGTGCCCCTGGGCTGGGCATGTCGGCACCGTGTCCCCGTAGCTGCAGCTCGCTCCTGGCCTATCAGAGTCCCGAGGCCAGTGGGACCCCGCTGCGAGGAGCACTGTGCCGCTGGGGTGTCACTGGTGCCAGAGTGGTGGGGCTGATTAGGAAAAGGCTCTCCCCAGTGGTGCGAGGCACAGACCGGCCGGCTCAGGAGCACGCTGCTGGCTCCCAGCGCACTCGCAGCCAGACAGCCCCTGGGGGCTGCAGGGGAAATTTGCTCTCCTGTGTCCAAGGAGCTGAGCAAGGCACCTAGCTATGGAGGGGCCAAGCTCTGCAGCTGAAGTGGTTTTAACCTTCTAAAACTCATAGTATGTTTGCAGTAAATGTAATAAAGCTCTTTCTGTCCCTCGCTGTTGGCAAGGGCTGATGTCTGCCTGGGGCAGAGGTGCCAAGCTGCCAACCCATGCTCCGCGCCTGCCTGTCGAAAAGCATTGAAAGCATGTCTTACCAGGCAGGGGGATCGGCACAGGGATGGCGAGGAGGCAGCACTGGCAGCTCTACCCTCCCTGCTCCGCTCTCAGCTGGCTTCTGACTCTTTTGCAAGCTCTGCAAGGACTGCCCAAAGGCGACAGGTACAGGGGACTTCTTCCAGCTCTCAACCTCACTGCCGTGCTATGAAACCTCTGTGCAGGTGGCCTTCGAATTTGCCCTTCTCCCTGGGTGGCTACAAGAGGCTGCACAGCCCTGGACTTCGCCCCCACTGTGCTTGGGCTCATGGCCCAGCCGAACCACGCCATCAGGCACAGGGGACTGCGGGAGTGCACCAGGGTCAAGCCATGGCATTTCGGTCAAGACTGGCTTGTTGATGTCCGTGGGAAAGCCACGTTTGCCCATGTCTGGCAAGCACCCAGGATGGACAGTGTGGTGGGCAGTGCATGCAGACATGTCTGCTTCCTATCAGCAGGCTGGCACCCGTGCTTGGAGGAGCAGTGACAAGTGACAAGCACAAGAGGAGGCCAAAGGTCTTGCTGGTCGAGGTGGAGAGAAGCAGCGCAGAGATGAGAGGGCAGTAGAGCAGCCTGTGATCCAGTGGGTCTGTGCACTAGTGATGGCGGGTGCCACCAAGCAGCTCCTGGAGGGTCCTGCAAGTGAGCCGGGAGCAACTTTTGGCATGCATATGCATGTGGGAACAAGCCACAGATGCACAGAGTTGCTGTCGTACTCCTCTGTGGCCTGAAGAGGAAGACCCCAGTGGCTGTAAGAACCACTTGGACGAAAAGCACCCTGTGTTTGGGAAAAAGTAGAGCTAAGATGTTTTGGCACAGCTCAACAAGAGAGCATGATGGTGATGACGATAGGGTTGAGTGTTTATGGGTAAGAATCAGGAGAAAGGCCAACAAGGCAGATATCGTGGTGGAAACTGTTATAGACCATCCAACCAGGATGAAGAGGCAGATGAAATATTCTATAAGCAGCCAGCAGAAGTCTCACGATCACTAGCCCTTGTTCTTGTGGGGGACTTCAACTTACCAGATGTCTGCTGGAAATACAATACAGCGGAGAAGAAACAGTCTACGGGGTTCCTGGAGTGTGTGGAAGATAACTTCCTGACACAGCTGGTGAGTGAGCCAACTAGGGAAGGTGCCCC